CACACAAGCAAACACAGTCGAACACAAATACACACAGAGATACAAAAAAAACCGCAGAAACCACACACACAGAAAGAGACACACACATAAACACATCGAGACACACAATATTTATATATATAGATATACTGAAAAACACACACACAAACACAAACACAGAAACAAACACAAATACACACACAAACAATCGCTCACACAGAAACACACGCACTTACGAAAGCACTCACAAAAGCACACAGACCCACATAAACAGGCAAACTCACACATACACACAGACACGCAAACAGACACACACACACAAAATCATATGCACTGACACACACACACACACACACACACACAGACATACATACACACAGTGTTGTCATGGGTTAATGTTAATGTGTGGTTTAAGAATCTAAAATAGAAGTGCAAAAGCTGCAAAGCTCAGTAACTGAAGGCAGAACCCAAAACAATGGCAACATAAGGTCAGGACGTACAAGGACACAGAAAGTCCTTGTGGTTAAAGGGAGAATTGAAACATATTATGGATATAACCATATAAGGAGTTGTTTTTCTTAAAAAAGACAGCTTTGTCTGGAGTTATTAAGGTGTCTTTAAACAAAGGTGTGTTAGATATCTCTCGGGAACGGTAGCGGAGCACTGCGAGACAAGACCAGTGCTGTGACAGGAATCCTGTCGGTACTTTTGTGTCTTGTGTGTTATTTTATTGTTTCATGTATTTGTGTATTACCTGCTGTTTTGACCTGAATAAAGTGACTGAAGTCAACCAATTGGTAAACTGGAATCGCATCATTCTAACATTGTTGGAGAGTTGCAAATGTTTCTAACAACAGACACACACACACAGACATACATAAACAGACAGACACACAAACACACAGACACAGACAGAGACCACACACACACATGCACACAGACACAGACAGATTCACACACACACAGACAGACGGATACACACACACGCATAGGCACATCACAGTCTGTCGCTCTCTCTCTCTTACTCTCTCTCCATCTCTCTCTCAGTCTCCTTCTACGTCTTTCACTTTGTCTCACAGACTCTGTCTCTCCTCTCTCTGTATAATTTTCGTTCTCTGCCTCTCCACAAAACTCAGTCACTATACATTATAACATGTTGTCTCTCACAGTCTCTCTCTTTCTCCCAGTCTCCCTCTATCACAGTCTCTCTCACTGTCTCAGTCTCTATCTCTCGGGCTCTCTGAAGCTGTTCCTCAGTCTCTCTTTCACTCTGTCTCTGAGTCACTTTCTCCCTCAGTCTCTACCTCTATCTCTCCCGCAGTTTCTCCCAATCACTCTCTCTCTCTCTGTCTCCCTCTTTGACTCTGTACGATTCCCCCAAAAAACAACATTCGCTACACTTTAAAATAGATTTTCTTTCAGTCTCTCTCTCTCTCTCTCTCTCTCTCTCTCTCTATCAATCTTTCTCAGTCTCTTTCTTTCTCTCTGTGTGTCTATCAGTGTCTCTTTCTGTCTCTCTCTCAATCTCTCTCTCTCTCAGTCAGTCAATCTCTTTCTGTCACTATGTCTGTCTCTCACTGTCTCGCCTGCAAAACATACAGTCACTACACATATATGCTCTCTCCATTTCCGTCTCACTCCGTATTTCAGTCTCTCTCAATACCTCTCTCAGTCGCTCTTTAAGACTATGTCTCTCGCTCCCTCTCTCCCTTTCTCTCTCTCTTTCAGTCTCTTTCACAGTCTCTCTCTCTGCCTCTCCCTCAGTCTCTCTCTCTCATTCTCGCCCTTAAGTCTTTCTCTCTCTCTCTCCCTCTCTTGGTCTCTCTCTTTCACAGTCTCTCTCGCAGTCTCTCCCTCTGCCTTTCCCCCAGTCTCTCTCGCTCTCTCTCTTTCTTTCTGAGTCTCTCAGCCTCTGTCTCTCAACCTCTCTCGCTCTGTGTCTCTCAGACTCTCTTGGGTTGTGACTGACTGTGAGGCAAACAGACACAAGTGGAGTAAGGAAACATCCGTAAGGTTTTGCTCTGCCAGGAATCACCCCCAGGCCCTCTCGGTAGCGAGGCGAGGGCTCTAACCACTGAGCTACAGGGCTCAGACTGCAGTGTGTGAGCAGACACAGGCTAACTCAGGGCTAAAGCTGTGTAGACTTTATTCTGGGGAAGGGTTTTGCATAAATAATTTGACTGTAAAAATACCAACAAAAACTACCTCAGAATATGATTTTTCCACAATTTGTTTTCCATCCGAGAGCTAAAGCCAGTAGGGAATATGGATGGAATCATTGATCCGAGTGTGTTAAAGGTCTCAGGATTAGGGAGGAAGTCCCAACATCATGCATGTCTGAGCCGGACAGGTTGAAGAAATGCGCGCATACAAACACACACATACACACGCATAAACACATCACCGAAACAGACCCATGTACATACAAACTCAAACATACACACACATAGGAACAAGCAATCTCACACACACATAAAAATACATACACATACATTATCGCACACACACATGCATACATACACTCAAACATAGAAACACACAGACACACACGCACGAACATTCATGCACACAGGACACTTGGGCACACAACACACACAATATCATATACAAATACACCACACACAGAAACACACATACAAACGCACAAAAATACACACAGAAAAAAGCACCGAGAAATACACACAGACACACACAAACAAACACCAACACACAATGGCACACACACACACAGATAAACACAGATACACACGCAGGCCCACACTAAAACAAGGCACACGCAGACACACATATACACATACAGAAACACACTCATGATTAAACACAAATGCACAAACACACACTATTCAGTGTGCTCCGAGCTCCCAGTGAGACTGCTTCTAGATTCACCCACAATTTGTCTTGAAAGTCCCCCAGTGGATCAAAAGCTTCCCCTTTCCTGGAGAGAATGGCCTCCATTCCACACAAACAAATCTCCAGTCAGATGTGGAGCTGTCAGGGGGTTGGTTTGGAGAGTTTGAAGCCTGATGACAGGTTTGTGTGTGTGTCAGACACACGGCTGACAATAGTAGAGAACTACAAACCCACAGTGTGTGGAGGGATTGACGGGACCAGGGCAGGAGCTTCGGGATTAGATACAATGGGAGCGGGTTTGGGGCTTGGAGCCAGTTTAGGGGTCGGAGCTGTCCTCATGTCACTAGAGATGGGGTTTCCAGCACATGGTTTCTTATTAACACATGTTGAGAGTTTGATGTAAACGATGGCTTGTGGCCTCACACTGTCACACCGATTCCTGTCACAATATTCAGCCGCACTGATCAGACAGTCACAATAAACACATTGAGATATTGGAGTCATTCAGACTCTGGAGACACAGTGCGTTACTTACCACAGACTCTGTATTTTACACTCCGGGTTCCTCAGAGCCTCACACAGTCGCTTCACTCCACAATCTCCCAGATTATTGCCCCCAGCCTGGACACAGAGACACAAACACAGGGAATATAGTGTAACAACACAATACACATTGACATGTATATACAGGAGCCTTTCACGTGGGGAGCAAGTCCCAAGGCGCTGGGACCAGGGTCACACACACCCGCACATGTGCACACACACACATGTGCACACACACACATCGCAGTCTCTCTCTCTCTGATTCTCTCTCTGTCTCTCCCACAAAACCGTCACTACGTTTTATATTTTTTTTCACCCTCTTTTCTTTCTTTCCTCAGTTTACTTCTATGTCGTTCACTATGTCTCACAGTCTCTCTCTCTAAGGTTCTTTATCTGCCTCTCCCACAAAACAAAGTCACTACACTTTATAACTTATTCTCTCTCAAGGTCTCTCTCTCTCACAATCATTCCCTCTCTTGCTCAGTCTCCTTCTCTCTCTCTCTCTCTGTCTCACACACACACTGTCAGTCTCGCTCTCTCCGGGTCTCTTAGGCTGTCCCTCAGTCTCTCTTTCACTATGTGTCTCTGAAGCACTTTCTCTCTCTCTGTCTCTTTCTTTGTCTCTCCCGCAGTTTCTCCCAATCTCTCTCTCTCACAGTTACTCTGTATCTCTTTTCCCCACAAAACACACATGCGCTACACTTTAAAATATATTTCCTCTGTCTCCCTCTCTCTCAATCTCTTTCACATTCTATCTCTCTCTCTACGACTTTCAGCCTCTGTCCCTCAATCTATCTCTATCTCTCAATCTCTTTCTCAGTCTCTCTCTCTCTCTCCCTCTATCACACACAGTGACACGCATACAAACGCCAACACACACACACCCGGAAACACGCGCACACATAAACATACACAGACACACCAGGATAACACACACTGACATACACACACAAACACGCACAGACACAGACACAAACATGCGCATCAACACAAACAAACACACTCAGTTCTATACTGCTCCGAGGTCCCAGTGAGACTGCTTTTAGATTCACCCACAATTTATCTTAAAAGTCTCCCAGCGGATCGAAAGCTTTCCCTTTCCTGGAGAGAATGGCCTCCACTGCACACACACAAGTCTCCAGTCAGATGTGGAACTGTCAGGAGGTTGGTTTGGAGAGTTTGAAGCCTGAGGACAGGTTTGTGTGTGTGTCAGACACACGGCTGACAATAGTAGAGAATTACAAACCCACAGTGTGTGGAGGGATTGACGGGACCAGGGCAGGAGCTTCGGGATTAGATACAATGGGAGCGGGTTTGGGGCTTGGAGCCAGTTTAGGGGTCGGAGCTGTGACTGTCCACATGTCACTAGAGATGGGGTTTCCAGCACATGGTTTCTTATTAACACATATTGAGAGTTTGATGTAAACGATGGCTTGTGGCCTCACACTGTCACACCGATTCCTGTCACAATATTCAGCCGCACTGATCAGACAGTCACAATAAACACATTGAGATATTGGAGTCATTCAGACTCTGGAGACACAGTGCGTTACTTACCACAGACTCTGTATTTTACACTCCGGGTTCCTCAGAGCCTCACACAGTCGCTTCACTCCACGATCTCCCAGATTATTATGACTCAAGTTCAGCTCCGTCAGTTTGTGGTTTATTTTGAGATCGGAGGACAGGTCCTCGGTGCTATCAGTTGTCAGATCGATGTCCCTCAGCCTGACAATCACAGACAAAAGAACATAACAGGGATCAGAGTAAACACAGTGCGTATTATTATTTATTACACAGCCTGGAGATGAGAGACACGGAGCCATAAAAGGGATCAAAGTGAATACAACGCTGACTACCATGAGAGACTGCGGATGGGATGGATTTTCTGGGACAGGAGGAAAGGGCCGGGGCTGACATTTTTTCACCTTCACATTAATATATCGCTGTACGTGGAACAGACACTCACATTCAGGATTGCAGGATTGGGTGTAGTTTGGTGCAATTGTAGGTTCAGTGACCACACAGTGTGTGTTGGGGGGTGGGTAGGGGTTGGAGTGTAGGCACCTTCAGTCTGGTTCACTGTAACTCTTAATTTTGATCGATATATAGTGATTTGTTGCCAACTACTGAAAACAAAATATTGCACTGAGAAAGCTGCTTGTGTTGTGATAGCCGTCGTCAATGTATTTTTCAATGGGCAAAACGTTCCCTGGCATTTTGTGTTGATGGCAGTCAAATAGTAACAAATACGCAAATGCGCAACTAATACCTGGCCTCACAAGCGAGAGACCTGAGTTCAAATCCAAGCAGGGAGAAACCTTGGGCAAGTTTCCTTACTCCACATGCCTGACAAAAATCCGTAAAATAAAACCCAATAATACATTGGGTTTGTGGGTCTTTGCTGTGCACAATTTGCTGCCGCGTTTCGCCCACAAAAATGCAGTCAATCGACTTTAGAGTATTTTCCGTGAAGCGCTTTGAGACGTCTAGAAAACGTGAAAAACACTGTATCAAATTCAATTATTATTATTATTATCGGTGCTGCTGCAGTTTAATCAGCTAAAGCTGTGTAAGGTCCCATGTGAGAGGGAAACATCCCTCTATTTTCTGGATAGGACACCCACCAACCTGTAAATACTGTGGCCCACAGGGTCAGCAGCAAGTGAGTGGGAAGAATCTCTGCTCCCAGTGACTTATCCTTAAAACGCTACCGCTAAGGCAGCCCTTGTAGCTTTCAGGAACTTTTAGAACTAATATTGTCCACAGCTGCTCAGGATATAATAATCTGTGTTTAGAGCCAATTACTGACACCAAGTCCACAGTGTGTTACTTACCATAGATTCGGTATTTTACACTCCAGGTTCATCAGATCCTCACACAGTTGCTTCACTCCACAATCTCCCAGATTATGGTCCTGCAGCCTGGACACGGAGACACAAACACATTGACATGTATATACAGGAGCCTTTCACGTGGGGAGCAAGTCCCAAGGCGTTGGAACCAGGGTCAGGCACACTCGCATATGCCCACACACAGTCAGACACACACAGGCATCCTTCCTAAGTTGTGGTAGATCGAATAAACATCTAACATTTATATTAATTTCTTGCAGGGTGATGTCTCAGAGCTTTACAGGGACGGGGTTGGAAGGTTCGAGTGTCCCCAGTCTCTGCGGCAACAAAATCAATTCGCAAGTTTAGGGACTTTCCTGTCAGGAAGACGTACCAAGGCAATGAGGGTTTGTACCTGATCTGGGGGTTGGGATCAGAGTTGGGTGGAGTGCAAGAGATTGGGGTAGGAGGATAACCGAAGGCAGGGTCAAAGGTGAAGTTGTTGAGATGGGCATTGAAGGAGGCAAAAGAGGAGGAGAGATAGCGGTTCTCCAGGATTGAGTTCCACAGGGTGGTGATGGTGATGGTGATGTCTGACTGTGTGAATGCAGAAGAGTTGATGGTGGAGCGGGCAGGGCGAGGACGTGTAGCAGCCCAGTGCACACCGAGTGGATGGAGCGAGCAGGATGGTAAAGTTGGTAAACACCACTTCCTCCATTGCACACATCCCAGTGTGCCTGGGTTGGCTCCTGCCCCCTCTCGGCTTCTCTCCTATTCTCGTTCCACCAGCTCAGGCACCACAGCACTCACTCCCCACACTCACAGGCAAGTCTTCTCCAGCCTACGTCACTAGGCCACAGGCTTCCTGTGTCCTGATCTCATGGCAGCAGGTCCTCCCCGAGTACCCAGACTGAGCTCTCCCTCACAGCCCAACTGAAAGCCCCCCTCATAGCTGCCTCTGCCCTGAAAGTCCTCAGGGCGCAGTTTACCCGCCTTCCCCACGACGGAAATCCAGAGCCCAGTATAACAGTGTAAGTGGCCTGGGTATGAGGACAGGGCAGTGAGACCAGCTGATGCCATAGGTGGCTGTTTAGGCCGTGAGGAGCCGCAACACAGTCTGTCAGCATCGCAGGCCGAGAGAGTGAGTGTGCATGTAACATGATCAATCAGCGAGAGGCTGGAGGGAGTCTACTCCTCTGCATGATGGACACCAGATCCTCCGTGTTGGCAGTGCTGTGGTTGACAAGGGAGAGTGTGTGGGTGGGTATCAAGCATGAGATTATCTGTCCCCCGGGCCTCTCACTCTGGGGCTACAGTCAGTAGGGCCTGAGGCCTGGCCACATGGTGAGGGCAGGTCTCCTGTGTGGATATCCTTTCAGTGTCTCTAGATCTGGGCTATGTCTGTGAGCACTGAGTACTGTGGTGAACAGAGGGGATCTTTATGTGAGAGTGAGGTGGTGAGAGGAGATACCAACCCTGACTATGACCTGTCAGAGGCCATGTTGTGTGTGTTTATGGCCAATGTAGGACACCGATGTGATTTTTTCCCATGTAATTGAATTCCACAGTGTGTTACTCACTCCAGAACCTCTATTTTGAACTTCGGGTTCGTCAGAGCCTCACTCGGTTGCTTCGGTCCACCATCTCCCAGAATATTTTCTTCCTGCCTGCACACAGAGACACAAACATAGTGAATATAGTGCAGCAATACAAAACGCATTGACATCTATATACAGTAGGTTTCCACGTGGCAAGGAAGTCCCAAGGCGCAGGGTCCAAATGTTGGGATCAGAGAGGCTGGAATACCGGCCGCTAGTGGCAGGGTAGATTGGGCTGGAGATATGTAGGAGGTGGCAGAATGGAGGGAATGGATAGGTTGATACGGGCTTTGCTGGACAGAGAGTTAAGAGAGAGCAAGGCCGCGGTAGGCTTTGAAATTGAGAAAAATTATTTTAAATTTGATCACTGAGGAATGGGGATCCAGTGAAGCCCAGCGAGGCTGGAGGAGGTGGGGTCACAGAGCCTGGTGAAGGAGCATAGGAGCTGCAGAGTTCTGGATGATCTGCAACTTGAGGAGGGAAGAGTTGTGGAGGCAAGAAACATGGCTTTGGCATATTCGAGTCTGGATGTAAAAAAGAGGTAAGACAGTGATGGAGTCATGTAATGTTGCCGAGGTGGGGGAAGGCAGAGCGGGTCATGGCATGGATGTGGGGGATAAAGGACAGTTGAGGATCGAACAAGACACCTGGGATCCTGACTGGATTGATGAGGTGGTATATGCATCCATTGGTACTGATGCTGCCAGGGCCTGAGTTGGGAGGTGCTGGCGTAAGCTTCAGTCTTGCTGGTATTCACCTGCAGAAAGTTGGCAGTTATTCAGGACTTGTTATTTGACAAACATTCTGTCAGGCCAGCAGTGGTCATATGGTTCATGTTGGAGGCATAGAGAGATGAATCTGATGGTCATGTGTGTACATATGGAAGTTGACTCCATGGCTGAGGATGATGTCATCAAGAGATGGCATGTACAGGTTAAAGAGGAGAGGACCGAGCCTTGAGGAACACCACACGAGACGGTCAATGAAGCTGTTGAAATCTACAAGGTAACAGTACACCTCACGAGGGAGTTAATCTATTCCACTTGATGATTTCAACTACAAACACTGTTGTTCTGTGTGTTTGCTCCAGGATCAATTGAAATTCTCCTCAGCTTCTCTCACACAGAGGAAGGAAACTGCTCTACAAGCTGAAGCCAAACAGAAACAAAATATTTCACAACTTAAGGTAAGTTTTATTGGGCTGATTTCTGGATAATCAGATTGTCTCTATTTATTGTGTATAAAGGGTGTGATGTCTCAGTGTGTCTCTCTTTACTGTGTGTACATGTCGCGATGTACTGCTCTCTTTACTGCGTATACATAGCGTGATATCTGACATTTTGCAGGAACAGGCGAGCAGTCTGCAGACCCAAGTCAAGGACGATTTTTCTAAAATACACCAGATCCTGACTGACAGAGAGCAGCGGGTGATGAGAGATCTCAGGCAGCGAGAGGAGGAGATTTTACAACGGATGGAGACAAACCTGCGAGAGACTCAAAGCAATTTAGATTCAGTTCAAGAAGAAATCTCAGAGTTACAGACACAGATGGAAAAAGACGGGCCGATGTTTTTGCAGGTAAAGAGATTACATTACAATTGAGCTCCATATCAGTTGCACAGAGTCTGGAGAAATACATGTAATACTGATTGATAAAGAGATAAGAGATTGAATTGCTAATTTAATATATCGTAGTGTGTCAACAGGTCTGACTTTATGTCTCCAGATGTAAACTTACCCAGATAACACTTTATGGTGGCTGTACATCTGAATTCTCTTACCTTTGGAAATCACTTTGAGTGAATAACTTGGCTGTAATAATGACAGTCAACTCTGTGCTGCAAAATTCTGTTCTGTGTATCTGAGTTTACAATGAGGTGTCTTAAAAATTATATGTGTACAGCGTCTTTCACGCCCAGTGCCTTGGGACTTCCTCCTGACGTTAAGGGCGCTGTACACATGTAATATTTGTTGTTATTCTTGGTGTCTCAGTGTGAGCTCACTTCTGTCTGTGTTTGATTTCATCAGGAGGAAGCTGCTCGGAAGAAAAGGTATCAAATGATCTTTACCAAATATCCCGGAATTTAATACACAAACAAACACAATGTGCGGTTTCACTTTACAATGAAAAACAGCTGTCATTAACCTCTCTCCTAATAAAACCTTCCATGGACCCATCCCTGCCCACCGACTGCCACCCATCTCCAACCTCTCTTTCCTTTACAAGGTCCTTGAAAGAGTTATAACTTCCAAGCTTCACTCCGTCCACACCTTTCATACTCACTCCCCTGACTCCCACAAGTCCATATCCATCTCCCTCTCACACCTCAATCTATCACCTGACTCTCCCAAGTCTCCTTTCGCTCTTTCGCCCCCTACCGATCTCCACCCCACACTCCGACAATTACCCATCCCTCCTTCCATACCTTTAAACCTGTTAACCGCTCTTCTGTCTTCACCATCATATTCTTCATGAAGCCCATCACCTGCTCCCTGGACGTCATCCCCTCCCCTCTCCTAAAATCCCAGCTCCAGCTCATTGCCCCGCTGCTCGCCGACATCATTAACATCGCCCTGTCATCTGACACTGTTCCTTACCGCCTCAAAGCAGCCATCATCAACCCCACCTTGAAGAAACCTCTCCTAGACCTATTAAAGCTTTCTAGCTACTGGCCCGACTCAAACATCCCTTCCTTTCCAATGTCCTTGAGAATGCCGTTGCCTCCGAGCTTCGCTTTTTCATGTCCTCCCACTCCTTCCATGAAGCCCTCCACAGAAACTGTTCTGGTCAAGGTCACAAACGACATTCAGACCATGTGTGACCAGGGTTTCCCCTACCTCCTCGTCCTCCTGGACCTCTGCGCAGTCTTTAACACCATGGATTACTCAATCCTCCACCGTCTCTTCTCCCACGTCAAATTTCAAGGTTCTGTCGTGACAAACGGATTCTCCTCCAGCCCCCGCACGGTGTTCTTCAGGGCTCTATCCTTGGTCCAGTCCTCGTCACCCTCTATATGCTCCCATTTGGTGACGTCATCCGCAGACAATGGGATAAATTTATACATGTATGTGGATGACACCAAACTCTACCTCGCTGCCTTCACCCTGAACTCCAGGACTCCTGGCGTGCTGACCGACTGCCTGTCCGACATCAAGTCCCGGACGAGGGCTAACTTTATCCAACTCAACGTCCGCAAGACCGAAGCCCTGCTGATTGTCTCTCACCAGCGCCTCTCTACCTTAGGCGCTGGCAGCATCAGCCTCCTTGGCTGCACACTCAACCTCACTAAGCCAGTCAGGAACATGGGTATCTTGTTTGACCTTGAACTGTCCTTTCTTCCACACATCCGAGGCATGACTGGCAACGCCTACCACCACCTCCTCACCATTGCCTCACTCCTCAGGCTGCCAAAACTCTCACCCACGCATTCATCGCATCAAGGCTTGAATACGGGAACTCTCTCCTCATTGGCCTTCCCAAATCGTGGCTTCAAAAGCTGCAGATCTTCCAAAACTTCCAAAATGATTCCACTGGCTCCCGATCCCCCAGAGAATCAAGTTCAAGATCCTCGTCCTCACCCTTAAGGCCAACCATGACCTTGCCCCCTCCTCGCTTCTGACCTGCTGACCCACTATCAACCTGCCCGCTCCCTCCGCATGCCCCAACATTGGTGGCCGGGCTTTCAGCTTCTCTGCCCCCACACTCTGTAACTCCATCCCACGGTCCTTTCCCTCGCTTCTTCCCTTGCCTCTTCAAGGCCGGTCTCAAGATCCTTCTCTTCGATCGTGCTTATGGTCTCTTTCCCACCTCCTTGCCTGCCTTCACCCCTACAACACGCTGCCTCCATGCTCGGGCCTCGCCACCTGAATGTTCAGCGCTTTGTGACGGCCTCCCGAAGTGAAAGGCGCTCTATAAATGTAGTTTTGTTTTTGTTGTTCTCAATTATGTCTCTGTGGCAGTGAAATCTGATACTTGCTACACTACACTTACACAGAGTAACACAGAAACAGAGTAACACAGAAACAAAATAACATATAAAGAGAGAAACACAGTAACATAGAATGATCCCTTGATCCCCTGACTTACCAAACATCTATTCACCTCAGTCTGGACAACGTACATGGATCCAGCCATTATCCGCAGCCTTTTAGGCGGAGAGAGAGAATGTTTCCCATTTGCCTTTGGGTGAGAAACTGCCCATGAATTCACTTCTAAATGGTCTTGCTCTGATTTTAAGATTTTGTCCCTTGCTCCGTATTCTTCCCACCACCCCCCACACACAATACCCAGCAAAGGAGATAGTTTCCCTGTCGCTCACCCCTCGAATCCCTTTATTACTTTAAATACCTCAATCATATCAGCCCTCACTCAACCTTCTAAACTCAAGGGAATATAGACGAAATTTAAACATCCTGGCTTTGCAGTTTAACGCCATCAACCCTGGTATCATTCCAGAGCCAATATATTCTTCCTGAGGTGTGGGGCCAAAATTAAACACATTCTCCAGATGGGGCCTGACCAACGCTTTATAGAATTGGAGCAACATTTCCTCTCCTTTATATTCCAGCAGATTCTGCAGATCAAGGCCAACATCCCGTCAATCTTTTCAGTAACGCTGTGTGGCTCTGAGCTTATATTTAGTGATTCTGGACGAGGACATCCAACACTCCACAGTTCTTAGTTTCTCACCAGATGAACTTATTCGAGACAGAGTAAAGATCCCGCTGCATTGTACCCCACCAAAGGCCTCACAGCATTTCACAGGGAATAGCTCTCTCGTCCAAGCAAATGTGGAGAACATTTGCCCTTCACCCGCCCCCACACACACACAGCTATGGTATGAATGAGCGAAACCTTGGGTTGATGGTTGACCAGGCCCCCAGCAGAGAAACTCGCTTCTTTCCCCAAAGGTATTGATGTGTCTCTAATGTCTGGATTAAGCTGAGCCAAAAAAACGCATGTGGTTTCCAGGTTGGTGTGTGTGCTACTCAGCTCAGTGAGCTGGCAGGAAAACAGTTTCTATTCTTCCTTCATCTAAATGTCATTGCATATAATTTGCATGTTAAGAAAAATATGTTCTAGTTCCTTGTAGAAGGGCTGCTGTGTTTTGGGATCTGAGACATATGTGTTTGGTGCAAAGATAATCTCCACCACGGTCGGTCAATGAGGTTTCCTTGGCAGGGAAAGCTGATGCTCACTGCACTACACTGACACATAGTAACACACACACACAGAGTAAAAAAGAAATAGAGTAACATAGAAAGAGAGTAACGTATATTTCAACTTGTGGGAGAGACCAAAAACAGTGGCCATATTTATAAAACAGTCACAATTAGATCTAACAGGGAAGTTAGAAGAAATTGCTTTACACAGAGAGCAGTGGGAATGTGGAACATGCTACTACAAGGAGCTGTTCAGGCAAATTTCAAAGATGTATTTAAGGGGAAGCTAGATAGGTACATGAGGGAGAAAGGACTAGAAGGTTTTTCTTAAAGGCTTAGTCGAGGAAGGGCAGGAGGATCTTCAAGTAGAGCATCAACACCGACATAGAACAGTTGGTCCGAATGGCCTGTTTCTGTGCTGTATATTCCAATGGATTCTCATGTACGTATTCTAAGAAAGAAACACGGAAATAGAGAAACACAGAAACACATAAGTGGAGAAACACAGTAAAATATACAGATCCATTGTATCTGACTGAACAAACGTCTCTCCACCTCAGTCTGGATAATGTGAATGGATCCAGGCATAATCCACAGGCGTTTGGGGGAGGGAGAGAGAGATTCCCACCGGACTTTGAGTGAGAAGCTGCCCCTCATTTTAAGATGTCGCACCTTGTCCTGGATTCCCCCACCCCACTACCCACCAGAGGAAACAGCTTCCCTGTCGTTACTCTCGCGAATCCCTTTATTACTTTAAACCCCTCAACCAAATCAGCCCTCACTCAACCTTCTAAAATCAAGTGAATAGAAACCTGATTTATACAATCTGCTCATGCGACTTAACCTTTACAACTTGGTATAATTCCGGTGATTCTGTGCTGCACCCCGTGCTCCAAGAGCCTGTGTAGCCTTCCTGAGCTGAGGAGCCCAATTGAGCGCTGTCTCCTGTTGGGGCCTGACCAAGACTCTATGCACTTGAAGCGTTATTTCCTCTTCTTTATATTCCAATCTCTGGAGATCAAGACCAAAATCCCACCAGCCTCTTCAGTAACGTTGTGTGGCTGTGAGCTTGTTTTTAGCGATTGTGATCACCCAACAGTCCACATTACTCAGTGTTTTACCGGATGAACAGATTGGAGTCAGAATTAAGGTTCCTCTGAATTTTGCCATCTATCCCACCAAAGGCCTCACATCATTTCACAGGGAACAGGTGTCTAGTGTAAGCAAATTAGGAGACTATATTGCCTCCCCCCTTTCCCCCAATATCTACACACACAGCTGTGATGCAAGTGAGCGAGACCGAGGGGTGATTGTTGACCAGGCATCCAGCATAGAAACTCCATTCTGTTTACCACATGTTATTTAGGGTGTTTTTAAAACCTGGATTGAGCTGAGCTAAAAAAAAGCACATGTGATTTCCTGGTTGGTGTGTGTGCTGCTCAGTTCAGTGAGATGGCAGAGAGACAGTTTCCATTGTTCCTTCATCTGATTGTCATTGTATGTTTTGCATGTTTAAATAAAATACCTTCTACTTCCTTGTTGAGCGACTGTTTTGTTTTGGGATTTGGGACATCTGTGTTTGCTGCAAACATATGTTCCATCGTTATCTGTCAATGAGGTCTCTGTGAGTGAAATCTGACGCATAACTAAACTACACTGACACATAGTAACAAACAAACAGAATAAAAAAGCACACGGATTATACAGAATAACACAGAAAAAAAGTAAGAAAGAAACAGTAACACAGAAACAGAGTAATAGATGTTTTAACTTGTACGTGAGACTCAAAACAGACGCCATCTATATAGAACAGTCACAAACAGATCAAATGGGGAAGTTAGAAGAAATATCTTTACACAGAGAGTAGTGGGAATATGGAAAATGCTGCCCAAGGAGTTGTTGAGCCAAATAACACAGGTGTAATTTCGGTACATGAGGGAGAATGGAGTAGAAGGTTCTGCTTGACGGCTCAGTTGAGGAAGGGCAGGAGGAGGCTCATGTGCAGCATAAACAACGGCATACACCAGTTGTTCCGAACGGCCTGTTTCTGTGTTGTATATTCTAATGGATTCTAATGTATGCATTTTAACAGAGAAGCAGAGTAACAGAGAAACAGTGTTACTGGGAAACAGAGAAAAAGGCAATCAGAATAATAAAGAGAGAAAAAAAGTAACATAGAAACATAGTAACATAGAATGATCCCTTGATCCCCTGACTTAACAAACATCTCTCCGCCTCAGTCTGGACAACATGATTGGATCCAACCATAATCCCCAGACTTTTGGGGGAGAAAAATAAAGATTCCCACTGGATTTTGGGTAGAACTTGCCCTGGTTTCACTTCTAAATGACGCGCCTCTGATTTTAAGATTTTGCTCATTTTTCCACAAATGGAAATAGCTTCACTGCGACTACTCTCTCGAATCCCCATATTACTTTAAACACCTCAACGAAATCAGCCTTACTCCCACTTCTAAACTCAAGGGAACAGAGAACAAGTTTACACAACTTGGCCTCGTAATTTAACCCTTTAAACCCTCGTATATTTCTGGTGATTCTGTGCTGGACCCCCTCCAACCAGAGCCAATATATCCTTCCTGGAGTGCGTTGCCCAAAACTCAACGCAGTCTCCAGATGGGGCCTGACCAAGGCTGTTTCCAATTAGAGCATGATTTTTTCTAATTGATATGCCAGCCCCGGAGATAAATGCCAAAATCACATCAGCCTCTTCAATAACATTGTGTGGCTGTGAGCTTGCCCTCAGTGATTGCGGCCGTGGATACTCAAATCTCTTTGCTCCCGCTCAGTACTTAGTTTCACATAAGTTAGAAAATATTTTGTTTGGCTATTTTTGGATCACAGTGGTGATCTCACATTTCCCCGCACTAAGTCTCAGCTGCCACAATTTTGCCCATTCTCTTAATTTATAAAAGTCCCCTTTTATTTCCTGCTCCAATCTACACAATTAATTCCTTCAAATATTCCTTCATCTAAGACACTTATATATACACTGGCGATCTGTAGCTCAGTGGTCAGAGCACTTGCCTCGCCAACGAGAGACTGAATTCCCGTCAGGACAAAACCTGGGACAATTTTTCTTAATCCACATGCCCGATATTCCCCAAGAAATAAACAATAAAATGTAGTCATCCAAACCACGACTGTTCAACAGATGTCAATGGACGCAATTGGCTCCCGTGTTTCGTCCACAAATATACGGTCAATTCTCTTTGGAGTGTATTCTCTGAAGCGCTTTGAAACGTCTCAAAGGTTTGAAAACGCTATAACAAATGCAAGGATTATTATGATTATTATTATATATTGAATAGCTGAGGCCCCAGTACTGACTCTTGGGGACTCTTGTCACATCCGAGAATCAGAAACTTAGTTTTTCCCTTACTCTCTGTTTCCTGCCTCCCAACCATTTCCCAAGCTACGTCGCAAGGTCACCTCTGATTCCATGTGCTTAAACTCTTGTGCAGAAGCCTCTGGCAGTCCACATAGATGACGTCCATAGATACTCTCTTACCCACCATGTTTGTGATCTCCTTAAAAAATTCAATCAGATTCGTCAGACTTGACCTGCAACCCCCACATCCTCGCTGACTCTCTTTGATTAGCCCATACGTATCCAAGTGCTCAGTCACTCTATCCCCAATGAGAGATTCCAGTCACCTTCTTACAGCTGAAGTGAAGCTGACAGCTCTGTAGTTACCTGATTTTCCTCCATCCCTCCCTACCTCACTCCTTCATTTCCTCTCTCCATTCCTTCTTAAAAAATGTAGTCACATTCGCAATTCTCCAATACAAAGGTACAATTCCTGAATATGTCGCTTTGGAAAATGATGACGAATGCAACTGCAATTCCCTCCAGAACTTGCGTTAATAACCAGGGGTGGAATCTATCAAATCCTGGAGATTTTTGTCTATCTTTAGTCCCATTATTTTCTGCATTATCTTTTTTNATTCATATTAAATCCGTTGACTAAATCTCTTTGGCTTATTTTTAGATTGCCTTGTACCCCTGGTATTCTGTCCTCTTCCTCGTCTATGAAAATGGAAGCAAATTAATCATTCAACAAGCCTGCCATTTCCTTACTGTCCATTATAGTGTCACCTCCATCGCTTTTAATGGGCCCACGTTCCCTTTTACTGCTCTCTTTCTCTTAAAATATTGATTCAAAGGGTTAGCGTTGCCCTTGATATCTCCTGCAGGTTGTATTTCATATTCCCTTTTATTACTTTCTTTGTGTCTGTTGTTACTTAGAAGTCTCGCAGGACGCTGGATTTATACTTTATCTTGTACTCGTTTAAGCATTTTTTTAGTTTGTTGCTGTCTCTCGCCTCATTTGTCGACCATGTTTGTTGAACTGCACCAGCGGAGCTTTTATGGTTAGGGGATGGACTGGTTCGATATGGTACCAAATTCATCTTTGAATACTTCCCATTGTGGGTCTGTGGGTACCCACTAACAGTTTGCTGTAGTTCATTTATTTCTCATCCATTTCAAGTTTGCCTCGCTTCAATTTAAAATCCCGGATTGTGACTCTCCTTCACCCTCACAAACCTTTTATCAAATTCATCATATTATGGTCACCTTTGCAAAATGTTCCCTTGTAGTCAGGTTAGAAGGAGCAGTTCACGTTTGGAGGGCGTCCCAAGGCGGTGGGCAGTCAGGGATTTGGACCCGAACTGGAGGGGGTGGATTGCGAGGAGGGAGGGGATAGGAGGCTGACCGCAGGCTTGGTCGAAGCGTAGGGTCTTTAGACCTGCCTTGAAGGAGGCGGGGGAGTAGGAGGAGATACGGAGGGACTATGGGATGGAGTTCCATGGAGTGGGGGCAGTGAGGCTGAAGGTCTGACCGCCGATGGTTGGTTGGGAGGGTGGAACAAAAGCAAAGGCTCTCAGATTCGTTCCAGGAAACAATTGCTGATGATTTCCTTATGAGGAAACAAACTGTAGGATTAGGTGTAAATATAGCTTGAGTGCTGTGGTTTCAGAGTTACTGTCGGTGGCGGGTATCTCACAGCCTCCACAGGAACAACCACACTAGTCCCTGGACGAAGGAGGGACAGGACGTCTGGACGGTGAGTCTGTGAAGTCATGCCCACAAATTATAAAGTCAACACACTTTACACCGTATTCTGATATTGTCCTTATATGCCTCTGTGTAAAAAGAAATGTTTTAACTTTCGTCTCCTTCAGTCTGATCTGGTGATGATTTGAAGTTGCTCCACGTCCAAGTTGTTGTTGTTGCCTCTGGTTTGGCATTCACTGACCAGTGGAATCAGGCAGGTATCTCTGGTTTGGGCTTAAGAGAGACAGACAGTCCTGTGAGTTCAAGCCGTGTATCGGAGGCTTTGAGCTCCCAGTCTTGGCTGCCACTCTAATGATGTTCTAGGGTGGGGGGCGGCATTGTTATTGGTCCTGTCCTTCAGGTGAGGAGTTTGACTGAGCTACTGTATATCTGTTTATGTGGACACTAAATAACCTGCAGCACAACTGGAAAAGAGACATTCACCAAATATCCTTGCCAACAATGCTCCAAATCAATTGCTCTTTCACCGCATTGTTGTGTGTGGGGAACTTGATTGTATCCAGTGACTTGGGACGCCCTCCCGACGTGAAAGGCGCTTTACACACGCAACGTGTTGTTGTTGCTGTGTGCAATTAGGTGTCGGGTTTGTCTCAAATCACTGCACTTTATAATAAAAACTGAAAATACTTCTGAGACAATTTATATCTGCAATTACACCTCCATCTCCAGGCAAATCGATCTTCCAAAATTCTCTAGATTAATCTTCCATAATTCTCTGGATTCTGGAACGGATTCCATTGATTGAAAGATTGCAAACGTGACACCAATATTTAAGAAGGGTGGGAGAGAAAAGATGGGGAACTATGGACTAGTTCGTCTGATTTCAGTGAGAGGGAAAATTCATGAGTCCTTAATTAAGAATGTCGTTATGGGAATCCTGGAAGAGCATAACACGATTAGTCAGAGTCAACATGGCTTTACAAAAGGGAAGTAATGCTTAACTGATCGTTTAGAGTTTTTTGAAGATGTATTTAGCAGTTTTGATAGGGGGAACCAGTAGATATAGTATATGTAGATTTTAAAAAGGCATTTGACGAAGTGCCACACAAAGGGCTATTGCACAAAGTTAAGGCCCATGAGATTAATTGCAACATATTATAATAATATTAATAATAATAATCCTTGCATTTGATATAGCGCTTTTCACGTCGGGAGGACGTCCCAAAGTGATTCACAGAACGCACTGTAAAATGAACTGACTGTATATTTGTCTCACAAACAGTCGTAGGTTGAAAATGGCCAATTTATTATTGTTTTGGGTTTTGGAGGGATTATTATTAGGCTCTGTGTGGAGTAAGGAAACTTGCCCAAGGTTTCGCCCTCCTGAAATTGAACCCAGATCTCTCACTTGCAAAGCGAGTGCTCTAACAACTGAGCTACAGGACTCCATATTAGCATGGATTGAAGAGTGGCTGACGGGTAGAAAAACAGAAATTATAGATAAACGGGTCATTCTCGAAATGGCAGGATGTGACTAGTGGGGTGCCACAAGGATCAGTGCTTTGGTCTCAGCTGTTTGCCATTTACATCAATGATCTAGAAGAGGACATTGAATGTAATGTATCTAAATTCGCGGATGACAGTAAACTAGGTGGGAGAATAAGCTCTGAGGATGATGCAAAAAGATTGCAACGGGATATAGATAGGCTAGGGGAGTGGGCGAATATGTGGCAGATGGAATTTAATGTGGGGAATTGTGAAGTTATTCATCGAGGTAGAAACAATAGAAAAACAGATTATTTTCCAGAGGGGGAGAGATTAGATAGTTTCAGTGTGCAGAAGGGGGATGTGGGTGTCCTTGTGCACCAGTCTGAAAAAGTTAGTTTGCAGGTGCACCAAGCAACTGAGAAGCCGAACGGCATGTTATCGTTCATTGCAAAAGGTTTAGAGAACAAGAGCAGGGAAGCCTTGGTGCAACTGTACAGGGCCTTGGTGAGACCGCACTTGACGTATTGTGTGCAGTTTTGATCTCCTTATTTAAACAAGGACATACTTGCCATAGAGGGGGTGCAGCGTAGATTCACTAGGTATGTTCCAGGGATGAGGGGACTGACCTATGAGGATAGTCTTAATAAATTAGCGCTATATTCTATAAAGTACAGAAGAATTAGGGGAGATCTTATTGAAACATATAAGATTCTTAAAGGCTGGATAAAGTGGACACGGAGGGTCTGTTTCCCTTGGTAGGAGAATCTATAACCAGGAGTCACAGTCTTAAAATTAAGGGTCAGCCTTTCAGAACAGAGTTGAGGAAACATTTCTTCACTCAGAGGGCGGTGAATTTATGGAATTCACTCCCCCAGAAGGCTGTAGATGCTCAGTCCTTGAACATCTTCAAGGCCGAGATAGATAGAATTTTAAAACCCAGAGGGATTAGGGTATATGGGGATAGGGGAGGTAATTAGAGTTAGGTCTGAAGATCATCCATGATATTATCGAATGGCGGGGCAGGCTCGAGGGGCGAATGGCCTACTCCTGCTTCTGATTCTTATGTTCTTATGTTGAAACATTGCCCACTTGTTGTCATCTCTCTTTCATTCACTGTCACTCTATCTCTCTGTCTCTCACATACTTGCATTTTGTGACACTCTCACTCTCACTCTCTGTCTCTCACACTGTCTCACACTCTACTTCTCTGTCACTCACACTCTCTCTTTCTCACCCTCTGTCTCATCGTCTGCCACTCTCTCTCTCTCACACACACTCTTCCTCCCTCTCTGTCGCTCCTTTTCTGTCACACTCTCTTACCTTCTCTGTCTCTCTCTCCATCAACCACTCTTGCACTCACATGCACCCTCTCTATCTCCTTCTCTCCCTCTGTCTCTCTCACTCTCACACGCTCTCCCTCTTCCTGTCTCCCTCACTCTTTGTCTCTCTCTTTATCTCGCTCACTGAGTCTCCTCAAATTCAGTTTCTCTGCCTATCTTTTCCTTACCCTCTGAGTCTCCTTTCTATCTCTCTCTATCCCAGTCGCTTCCACTCTCTCACTCAATCGGGCACTCACTCACTCATTCAGTCACTCACTCATTCACTCACTGTCTCTGCTTCATCCACTCAGTCTGTCTCTCTCTCTGCCCCTCTGCCTCTCCCTCACCCTCTCAGTCTCTCTCTCTCTCTCTCTCTCTCTCGCTCTCTCTCATTCTCTCTGTCTCTTCCCCACCGTCTCAGTCTCTCTCTCTATCTCTCTGTCCCTGCCTTATCCTTTCAGTTTTCTCTATCTACCTCCCTCACCCTCTCACTCTCCCTCGCCCTCTCAATCTCTGTGCCCAGTGACTTGTTGCTTGTGTTACGGATGTGGTTGTTGGTCTCTTACCCACAGGTCACAATGAAGGACCATTTCCTTCGGCTGTTGCTGCTAGTTCCAGGTCAGTCAATTCTCCCCTCACTGTCATTCCATATTTATCCCCTTACACAGCACATCTGTCCTCACCCCCACACACAGCACATATGTTCCCTCAAACAGCCTCAAACAACACCCTCAAACAACACCCCCACAGACAGCACATCTGTCCACACTCCACTCAGCACATCTGTCCCCACTGACACCCACAGCACATCTGTCCCCACAGCCACCCACAGCACATCTGTCCTCACCCCGACACATAGCACATCTGTTCCCACAAACAGCACATATGTCCCGACCCCCACAGACAGCACATCTGTCCACACCCCCACACAGCACATCTGTACCAACTGACTCCTACAGCACATCTGTCCCCACCGCCACCCACATCACTTCTGTCCCCACCTCTCGCAGCATATCTGTCCCCAAACCCACACAGAGCACATTGGTCCCCAGCCCAACACACAGCACATCTCTCCCCACACAGCACATCTATCCCCACTGCCACACACATACATTTGCCCCAACCCAAAACACAGCATATCTGTTCCCACTGACACACACAGCACATCTGTCCCTAATTCTGGTCCAACATTCCTGTCATTTATTCTAACGACTGATCCTCCTCTTCCCTCCTCTGTCCCAGACGACTCACTCACACAATCACTCACCCAGAGTCATTCACTCTCGCAGTAACTGCCTCACATAGTCACTCGCACAGTCACTCACTCACACAGTCACACACAGTCACTCACTCACACAGTAAATCATGCACACAATCACTCACTCACACAGTCACTCAATTATGCACTCATTCATTCATCTAATCATTCAATTAAACAGTCACACAATCACTCACTTACATTGCCACTCATTCACACAATCACACAGTTACTCACTCACACAGTCACCCACTCACTCACACACCCTCGCTGATTTTTACCACGTCACTTACATACACAGACACTCACAGTCACTCTCTCAGTCACCCACTCGCTCACACAGTCACTTACAAATTCAGCCACTCGCTCACACAGTCAATTGCACGGTCACCCACTCGCTCACACATTCACTCATACATTCACTTACTCACTCAGACAGTCACTCACACGCTCATACATCACTCACACTGTGACTCACTCAGAGTGACTAACAGTCACTCACTCCATCAATCACTACCGTAATTCACTCAGCATCATTCACTCACACAATGATTCAACACACTGTCACTCACTCACACAGTCACACATGCAATCACGCACACAATCATTCACTCAATCACTCACACAGTCACTCGCACAGTCAAACATACTGTCACTACACAATCACTCAGTCACTCACACAGTAACTCACTCGCTCCCCAGTTATGATGGGCAGCTTTACCCCCTGTCTGTGAGGCTGCGCGGCGTGAAGGACGGGGCTAGAGGACTGACCCAACCTCCAGCCCCGCCCCCTACTGCTGTCACTCACTGGATTGCTCCAGGCACGCACTCACACAGTCACTGACACAGCAATTTACTCACTGTCACTCACTGTCACTCACACACTGTCACTCAGTCACACACAGACAGTCACTCAGACATCTATTCTTCCACTATCGCTCACATCATTCACACACAGTCACTCAAACACTGTCACTCACACACACAGTCACTCACACACACAATCACTCACAAAGAAATTGACTCACATTCACTTACTAAATAGCATAGTGATTAACTCAAACAATTATTCACACACACAGTCAGACATACAATGACTCACTCAATCAATCACTCAAACACAGCCACTCACACAGATTCACTCACAAACACAGTCACTCACACATAGTCACTCACACACACAATCTCTCACGACACAGTTACTCACACACACAGTCACTCTCTCACACACACGCGCAATACAATCACTCACACACACAATCACACACAATCACTCACACACATCACTCACCCACACAGTCACTCATACATACAAAATCACTTTCACACAGTAACTCACGCACAATTACTCACACAGCCAGTCACTCATACCTTCACTCATTCACACAGTTACTCACTCACTCTCAGTCATTCAGCGTCACTCATCATAGAGGCATTTACTCACCCTCAGTCACATATTAACTACTCACACAGTGAATCATCACACAGTCGCTCACTCAGAACCACATGCACAGTCACTCAAACAGTCACTCTGTCATTCATTCGCACACACACAGTCACTGGCCCACTCACTTACTCAAACAATCATTCCCTTATAGTCACCCACTTATTCACAGTCGCTCAATCATTCGCACAGTCACTCATTCGCACAGACACTTACAGACACGTTACTCAGTCACACAGTCACTCAGAGTTACTCACTCTTCCTCACTCATAGTCACACTGTCACTCACACACACAGTCTCTCACAGTCACTCACTCAGTCAGTCTCTCGCTTCCACGGTCACTCAAACAATCACTCACTCGTTGACACAGCCACTCAATGACTGAAACAGTCACTCACTCACAAAGACAGTCACTCACACAGTCACTCACTCACCCTTACTCACACATTCACTCCTCACACAGTGATTCAACACACAGTCGTTCACTCACAGTCACATGCACAGTCACTCAAATAGTCACACAGTCATTCATTCACTCACACTCACTCACTCATACAGTCAATCACTCAATCACTGAGGGCGGGTGAGTGTGGTGTTGGAGTGCGGAGGTGGGCGAATGTGCTGTATGAGTGCGTGTTGGGGGATGTGTTGGGGCAGGAAGAATGGGGGGGAATGTGCAGAGTGGGAGTGTGGAGAGAGGGAATGTGGTGGGGTTGGGGGAGAGTGTGGGGTTGCGGTCATTGAGGAATGGGGCCGCTGGTAACCAATTGTCACTTCTGTTCCTCACCGACCTGTCATTTGCTTCAACGGATACAATGACAGATGTTTTCTCCTCTTCCCAGCTGTACAGACCTTCCAATCCCCGGGAAGAGCGTATCACAGGATCAATTTAAACAGAAACTGGGCTGAAGCCCGGGATCACTGCCGCAGTCACTACAGTGATCTCGTCAGCATCCGAAGCCCAGAGGAGAAGAGTCTCATTGACCCCCTGTTTGTTGGAAGTCAATGGGTCTGGATCGGGCTGTACAATAATGACCAGACTGAGACCGGATGGAAATGGTCAAATGGAGACAACGTCAATTATACAGACTGGGGAGGAGAGGACCCGAATGGATACACGTCCGGATCAGTCTGTGTCCGGATGTACAATAGCGAAGCTACTGCTCGTTTTTGGATTGATGATCCATGCCATTACAATCTGCCTTTCATCTGTTACACAGGTAATGAGTGGATGGCTGACATGACAGAGTGAGATGTGATCTCAGCAGCGTCTCCCTGCTGGTGGCTCGGTGGCGGTGGCTATGGGTGTGGGGCGGGGTCACTGCAGGGCCTTAGGGCCCCCGGAGGATTGCGGGTCCCCATTTATAATGGACAGATCTACCCGATGTCTATGAGCTGCGCAGCGGCCGGGCGGGGCTAGAGGTCACACCATACCTCCAGCCTCGGCCCTCCAGCTGTCATTTGCTGGCCTGGCCCTTGAGGGGCGGGACTGGAGGACTCACCATACCTCCAGCCTCGCCCCCTCCAGCTGTCACTTGCTAGTTTGGTCCATGAGGGGCGTGGCTGGAGGTCTGACCATACTCCTAGCCCCCTCCAGGTGTCATTCGCAGGGTTGGTCCAGGCATCGAGGGCGGGGCTGGAGGACTCAACAAATCTCCCGCCCCATCCTCTGCTGCTGTCAATCACAGTCACTACACGGGTCTCGTCAGCATCCGCAGCCCAGAGGAGAAGAGGCTCATTGATACCCTGTCTGTTGGAAGTCAATGGTTCTGGATCGGGCTGTACAATAATGACCAGACTGAGGCCGGCTGGAAATGGTCAAGAGGAGACAACGTCAATTATACACACTGGGAAGATGTGGACCCGAATGATTACACATCCAGATCAGTCTGTGTCTGGGTGTACATTGATTAAGATGCAGCTCCTCTATGGTTAGATGCTCCATGCCATTACAAACGCCCTTTTATCTGTTACACAGGTAAACAGTGTGTGGCTGAAATGACAGAGTGAGATGTGATCTCAGCAGCGTCTCCCTGCTGTGGGCTCGTTGGCTGTGAGTGTAGGGCTGGGTCACTGATATTCTGGGACAGTGTAGAGAAGGAGTTTTACTCTGCCTCTAACCTGCGCTGTAACCAACATTGTTGTCCATTAGATGGGAATAACGTACAACAGAATATTCTGGAGGTTACGCTAGTGTATGGTTTATTGCTGGTAGCTACAGAGCGTGAATGTGGGGTAACAGATTAGAACTGTCTCCTGTACAGGGCCAGTAACTCCCCCGTGTTTATTTCCAGAGAGAAAGACACCAACAACAGCTCCGTCCACTGCAGCTACTGAAACCACCCCATACACAGCCGGCAGAGACACCTTCACCCCATCACAGAGCCCAGCAACCGAGCCCACCTCCCGCTCAGAGCCAGGTCAGTGTCCATGGGCTGCCCGTTAGGCGCTGTGTTTCTGACGGTGGCTCCAAACAAAGCTCATCCGTGACTTCAAACCATCTCGTTCATTCCCAATTATGGTATTTCAGATCCACCTGCCCTTCCCCAGAGCACGGAGTCTCCTCCTCCACCTTCCAGCTTCCCTCCTCCCAACATACCAGGACCTACAGCGACTCCCGAGAACATATTTACCGGGACCTCCAGAGTGACAGGTAAGTAACTGTCTACCAGTGAGTTCTGCTGCTGATTGCCAACCGGTTTGTGGGTCAGATTGTAGCTCCAGGTGTGGAGCATTATTAACATCACAACCTGTCAGACAGCTCAGATGCTGGTGCTCATTCGTCAGGTCAGTGTCCCTCGGCTGCCCGTTTGGGGCTGTTTTCCTGACGTTGAAATTCATAAGTCGGTGCCTCCAGTTGGACTGTGGGGCGTTGCTCATTCAGTTCTAAAACTGACCTCGTGGCCTCATAGATAAATGGCAGCCGAGCAGGTGTCTGGTCTGGTTTACACAGCGACACCCCAATTTAACAGACTTCATTGTGTGGACCTGTAGGTTAGTGCGGGGACATGTAGGTTACTGTGGGAACCTGTGGGTTAGTGTGGGGACCTGTAAGTTAGTGTGGGGACCTAAAGATTAGTCTGGGGACCAGCAGGTTAGTGTGGGGCCTGTAGGTTTGTGTTGGGAACTTCAGGTTAGCGTGGGGAACTGTAATAATAATAATAATAATAATAATCCTTGCATTTGATATAGCGCTTTTCACGTCGGGAGGACGTCCCAAAGCGCTTCACAGAACACACTGTAAAGTGAATTGACTATATATTTGTGGGCAAACGCGGCAGCCAATTGCGCACAGCAATGTCCCACAAACAGTCATAGATTGAAAATGACCAATTTATTATTGTTTTGTTTTTTGGACGGATTATTATTAGGCGTGTGGAGTAAGGAAACTTGCCCAAGGTTTCGCCCTCTGCCTGGAACTGAACTCAGGTCTCTCACTTGCAAAGCGAGTGCTCTAACCACTCGTATGGGGACCTGTAGGTTAGTTTGGGGACCTGTTGGATAGTGTGGAGACCTGTACGTTTGTATCGGATTGTTTAGGTTAGTGTGAAAACCTGTACGTTAGAAAAGGGCTGTTTCGGTTAGTGTGGGGAGCTGTAAATTTGTATGGAGACCTGTAGGTTACTGTAGGGAGCTGTAGGTTAGTGTGGGATTTTATAGGTAAATGTGGTAACCTGTAGGTTTGTATGGAGACCTGTATGTTAGTATGGCGTTGCGTAAGATAATGTATTGACCTATTGGTTAGAGTGGGGATCTGTAGGTCTGTGTGGGGTTCTGTAGGTTAGCGTGGGGTGCTGTAGTTTAGTGTTGGAAGCTATAGCACTGTTGGGGTTGTTTGCGTTAGTGTGAGGAATTGTAGGTTAGTTTAAGGCCCTTTTGGTCATTCACATCCATTCACTCACAATCACTCCCACAGTCGCTCATTCACAGTCACTCGGGCAGTCACTGAATCACACAGTCACTCTCTCACAATGTCGCTCACATTTACTCACTAAAACACCAGCAGAGTCACTCACAGTGGGACTCACTGTCACTCACTCACAAAGTCATACCCACAATCACTCACTCACAGTCACACACACAGTCACTCTCATTGTCACTCAGAGTCACTCACTCACACAGGCATTCACTCATCCAGTCACTCGTACACATACAGTCACTCAGACAGCAATACTCTCACATTCACTCACTCAGTCACACAGTGATTCACGTAAAGAATTACTCACAAACACAGTAACTCAAACACAGTGACTCACTCACACAATCACTCACACTCACTCTCACATCCAGTAACTCACACTCACAGTCAATCACACACACAGTCACTGACACACAATCACTCACACACGCAGTTACTCATACACACACACAGTCACTTATACAAACACACTCAAACACAGTCACTCACACACAGTCACTCACACATAAATAGTCACTCACGCACACATTCACTCACACAAATATTCACAAACTCACACAGTCACTCACACACACAGTTACTTACACACACAATCTCACAGACTCACACTGTCACTTACACATACAACAACAACAACAACAAGATTCCATTTATAGAGCGCCTTTCACGTCAGGAGGACGTCCCAAGGCGCTGCACAGTTGGGTCATGACCCGAGCAGGGGGGAAATGGTCAGGGTGAGGGGAGGAAAGGGAGGGAGAGAGGAGGGGGGAAATGGTCAGGGTGAGGGGAGGGAAGGGAGGGAGCGAGGAGGAGGAAGAGAGTCGAGAGGGGAGCTGAAGGCACGGTCAAAGAGAAAGGTTTTGAGACCGGCCTTGAAGGAGGAAAGGGAGGAAGCAAGGCGAAGGCACTGGGGGATGGAGTTCCAGAGCCTCGGGGCTGAGAGGCTGAAGGCCCGACCACCGATAGTAGGGCGGTTGGGGCGGGGGACGTGGAGCAGACCGGAGCCAGAGGAACGGAGGGTACGGGCAGGTAGGTAGGGGGATAGTAGGTTGGAGAGGTAGGAGGGAGCAAGGCCGTGAATGGCCTTGTAGGTGAGGATGAGGATCTTGAAATCAATCCTCTGGGGGATGGGGAGCCAGTGGAGGCGAGCGAGGGTAGGAGTGATGTGGTCCCGAAGCCTGGTGCGGGACAGTACACGAGCTGCAGAGTTCTGAATGACCTGCAGCTTGTGGAGGGAGGTGCCGGGAAGGCCGGCGAGGAGAGAGTTCCCATAGTCCAGCCTTGAGGTGACAAAGGCGTGAACCAGGGTTTCAGCGGCGTGAGGGGTGAGGTAGTGCCGTAATCTGGCGATATTCCGGAGGTGATGGAAGGCGGTGCCAGTTGTGGTGCGGATGTGAGGGAGAAAGGACAGCTCAGGGTCGAACAAAACGCCGAGGTTCCTGACTGGCTTTGAGAGGTGGAGAGTGCAGCCTTGGATGCTGATGGTGTCAGCGCCTGAGGTGCGGAGGCGCTGACGTGAGCCAATCAGGAGGGCCTCGGTTTTTCGCACGTTGAGCTGAAGAAAGTTGTCTCTCGTCCAGGACTCGATGTCGGACAGGCAGGCTGTCAGGACATCGGTGGTCGTGGAGTTGAGAGTAGAGGAGGAAAGGTAGAGTTGGGTGTCATCCGCATACATGTGGAAGTTAACCCCATGTTTGCGGATGATGTCACCGAGGGGGAGCATATAGAGGGTGAAGAGGAGGGGACCGAGGACAGAGCCCTGAGGGACACCACATGAGACAGTACGGGGGGTGGAGGAGAAGCCATTCGTTGAGACGAAGTGAAGACGGTGGGAAAGGTAAGAGCTAAACCATTCAAGGACAGTGCCTTGAAGGTTGAGGTGGGAGGACAAGCGGTGGAGTAGGATAGCGTGGTCGACCGTATCGAATGCTGCCGATAGGTCGAGGAGGACGAGGAGACAGAGGGAGCCCTGGTCACAGATAGTCAGGATATCATTGGTGACCTTGACCAGGGCAGTTTCTGTGCTATGAGCAGCACGGAAACCTGACTGAAGGGGTTCAAAAAGAGAATGGGTGGAGAGGAAAGAGCGCAGTTGGGAGGCGACAACTCTTTCCAAGACCTTGGAGAGAAAGGGGAGGTTGGAGATGGGCCGGTAGCTTGATAGCTGCGACGCATCAAGGGAGGGTTTTTTCAGGGTGGGCGTGATGATGGCAGTTTTTAATGGAATGGGGACAGAGCCAGAGGAGAGGGACAGGTTTATGATGTCAGTGATGTGTGGGGCAAGAAAATGGAGCTGGGAGATAAGGAGTGGAGTGGGGATGGGGTCAAGGGAGCAGGTGGTTGGTTTTAGGGATAGGATGAGTTCAGTGACAGAGGGTGGGGAAACGGGTACGAAGGTGTGTAGGGGAGGATGGGTAGGAGTCGGAGTGTGGGAGGGAAGGGGTGGGTGGTGGGTGGAAGTTGGAGGGGAAGTGACCGCGGAGCGGATTCCCTTGATCTTGGATTCAAGGAAATCCAGCATCTCCTCGCAGTGAAGGTTGGAGGAGATGACCTGCGCGGGGTGGCGGGGGGGACGGAGGAGTCGGGATGTGGTGGAAAACAGTAGCCTGGGGTTGTTCTTCGCCTCCAGGATTATCCTGGAGTAGAAGGACGACTTGGCCGAGGCTAGAGTGGAGCGGTAAATTTTGAGGAGGTCCAGCCAAATTTGTCGGTGGACCGTTAAGCCGGATTTGACAAAGGTGCGCTCAGCAGCCCGCACCTGGCATTTCAGTGAGCGAAGGTGGGTGGTGTACCAGGGGGAGGAGCGGGAGTAGGACACAGTGCGGGAAGTGATGGGGGCAAGAGTATCGAGTGTGGAGGAGAGGATATTGTGGAGGAGGGAGAGAGGAGAAGAGGGGTCGGTGAGGGTTGAAGGCCAGAGGGAGAGGAGTTCAGAGGACTCCAAGGCATCGGTTAGGGATTGTGGGGGTAACTTCTTCCAAGGGCGGTAGAAGATGGTGGTGGGTCTGGTGGAGGTGGGGAGGGGGGTGGAGGTGGTGAAGGAGATGAAGCAGTGGTCGGAGATGGCCTTGTCGGTAATAGTGACATCCGAGACAATGAGGCCCCGGGTGATCACCAAATCGAGTGGGTGGCCGTGACTGTGAGTGGGGGAGTTTATGTGTAGGGAAAGGTTGAGTGAGGAGAGCAGGGAAGAGAAGTCTGTGGAGATGGAGCAGGAGGGGGTGAAGTGTAGGTTAAAGTCGCCCAGGATGATGAGGCGATCAGAGGAGAGGCAAAGAGATGTGAGGAGTGTTGAAATGTCAGAGATGAAGGTGGGAGAGGTTTTAGGGGGCCGGTAGAGGAGGAGGATTTTAAGGGAGAGGAATGAGGGGTGGGAGAGGGTGAGGTGCTCGAAGGAGGGGAAAGAGCCAGAGGAGTAGGGGATAGGGCAAGTGGTGTCCTTGAGATAAGGGCAACACCACCGCCACGGCGGTTGGGGCGGGGGATGTGGTGGGAGGTGTAGCCGGGTGGCGTGGCCTCCGTGAGGGGGAAGGTGTCGCCTGGGGTGAGCCACGTTTCTGTCAAGGCCATGATATCAACGTTCTCATCAAGGATGAGATCGTTGATGACCAGGGCCTTGTTGCAGAGGGAGCGGACATTTTGCAGTCCGATGTGGAGGGAGCGGTTGACAGAAGGGTGTGTGGGAGGGGAGGGGGGTCCAGGTTGTGAGGCAGGGGTGGGGGGGATGGGGATAAGGGAGGAGAGGTTGACTCCCCTTAGTGACTCATAGTGACTCATACACACACATTCACTCACAAACATAGTTACAGATTCACACATTCACTCACACACTCAGTCACACAACAGTCATTGACATTCACTCACTCACAATCACTCGCACAGACACTCACAGACACACAGCGATTCTCTCACATTCACTCACTCCATCACACAGCGATTCACGTAAACAATTACTCACAAACACAATAAGTCAAACACAGTGACTCACTCACACAATCACTTACACACAGTCACTCACAGTGCAATCATTCACACACCGTCAATCACACACACACAGTCACTGACACACAATCACTCACACACACAGTTACTGTCACACACACACACCGTCACTTATACACACACTCACACATAGTCCCACACAGTGACACACACACAGTCACTCACACACAGTCACTCACACATAAATAGTCTCTCACACACACAGTCACTCACACACATAGTCACACACTCTGACCAGACTGAGGCCGGCTGGAAATGGTCAAGTGGAGACAACGTCAATTATATACACTGGGGAGATATGGACCCGAATGATTACACATCCGGATCAGTCTGTGTCTGGGTGTACGTTGGTGGAGATGCAGCTCCTCTATGGTTAGATGCTCCATGCCATTACGAACGCCCCTTTATCTGTTACACAGGTAAAGAGTGTGTGGCTGAAATGACAGATTGAGTTGTGATCTCAGCAGCGTCTCCCTGCTGTGGGCTCGTTGGCTGTGAGTGTAGGGCTGGGTCACTGATATTCTGGGACAGTGTAAGAGAAGGAGTTTTACTCTGCCTCTAACCTGCGCTGTAACCAACATTGTTGTCCATTAGATGGGAATAACGTACAACAGAATATTCTGGAGGTTACGCTAGTGTATGGTTTATTGCTGGTAGCTACAGAGCGTGAATGTGGGGTAACAGATTAGAACTGTCTCCTGTACAGGGCCAGTAACTCCCCCGTGTTTATTTCCAGAGAGAAAGACACCAACAACAGCTCCGTCCACTGCAGCTACTGAAACCACCCCATACACAGCCGGCAGAGACACCTTCACCCCATCACAGAGCCCAGCAACCGAGCCCACCTCCCGCTCAGAGCCAGGTCAGTGTCCATGGGCTGCCCGTTAGGCGCTGTGTTTCTGACGGTGGCTCCAAACAAAGCTCATCCGTGACTTCAAACCATCTCGTTCATTCCCAATTATGGTATTTCAGATCCACCTGCCCTTCCCCAGAGCACGGAGTCTCCTCCTCCACCTTCCAGCTTCCCTCCTCCCAACATACCAGGACCTACAGCGACTCCGAGAACATATTTACCGGGACCTCCAGAGTGACAGGTAAGTAACTGTCTACCAGTGAGTTCTGCTGCTGATTGCCAACCGGTTTGTGGGTCAGATTGTAGCTCCAGGTGTGGAGCATTATTAACATCACAACCTGTCAGACAGCTCAGATGCTGGTGCTCATTCGTCAGGTCAGTGTCCCTCGGCTGCCCGTTTGGGGCTGTTTTCCTGACGGTGAAATTCATAAGTCGGTGCCTCCAGTTGGACTGTGGGGCGTTGCTCATTCAGTTCTAAAACTGACCTCGTGGCCTCATAGATAAATGGCAGCCGAGCAGGTGTCTGGTCTGGTTTACACAGCGACACCCCAATTTAACAGACTTCATTGTGTGGACCTGTAGGTTAGTGCGGGGACATGTAGGTTACTGTGGGAACCTGTGGGTTAGTGTGGGGACCTGTAAGTTAGTGTGGGGACCTAAAGATTAGTCTGGGGACCAGCAGGTTAGTGTGGGGCCTGTAGGTTTGTGTTGGGAACTTCAGGTTAGCGTGGGGACCTGTAGGTTCGTATGGGGACCTGTAGGTTAGTTTGGGGACCTGTTGGATAGTGTGGAGACCTGTACGTTTGTATCGGATTGTTTAGGTTAGTGTGAAAACCTGTACGTTAGAAAAGGGCTGTTTCGGTTAGTGTGGGGAGCTGTAAATTTGTATGGAGACCTGTAGGTTACTGTAGGGAGCTGTAGGTTAGTGTGGGATTTTATAGGTAAATGTGGTAACCTGTAGGTTTGTATGGAGACCTGTATGTTAGTATGGCGTTGCGTAAGATAATGTATTGACCTATTGGTTAGAGTGGGGATCTGTAGGTCTGTGTGGGGTTCTGTAGGTTAGCGTGGGGTGCTGTAGTTTAGTGTTGGAAGCTATAGCACAGTTGGGGTTGTTTGCGTTAGTGTGAGGACTTGTAGGTTAGTTTAAGGCCCTTTTGGTCATTCACATCCATTCACTCACAATCACTCCCACAGTCGCTCATTCACAGTCACTCGGGCAGTCACTGAATCACACAGTCACTCTCTCACAATGTCGCTCACATTTACTCACTAAAACACCAGCAGAGTCACTCACAGTGGGACTCACTGTCACTCACTCACAAAGTCATACCCACAATCACTCACTCACAGTCACACACACAGTCACTCTCATTGTCACTCAGAGTCACTCACTCACACAGGCATTCACTCATCCAGTCACTCGTACACATACAGTCACTCAGACAGCAATACTCTCACATTCACTCACTCAGTCACACAGTGATTCACGTAAAGAATTACTCACAAACACAGTAACTCAAACACAGTGACTCACTCACACAATCACTCACACACACTCACTCTCACATCCAGTAACTCACACTCACAGTCAATCACACACACAGTCACTGACACACAATCACTCACACACGCAGTTACTCATACACACACACAGTCACTTATACAAACACACTCAAACACAGTCACTCACACACAGTCACTCACACATAAATAGTCACTCACGCACACATTCACTCACACAAATATTCACAAACTCACACAGTCACTCACACACACAGTTACTTACGCACACAATCTCACAGACTCACACAGTCACTTACACATAGTGACTCATACACCTTGACCATTTCCAGCCGGCCTCAGTCTGGTCAGAGTGTGTGACTATGTGTGTGAGTGACTGTGTGTGTGAGAGACTATTTATGTGTGAGTGACTGTGTGTGAGTGACTGTGTGTGTGTCATTGTGTGGGACTATGTGTGAGTGTGTGTATAAGTGACGGTGTGTGTGTGTGACAGTAACTGTGTGTGTGAGTGATTGTGTGTCAGTGACTGTGTGTGTGTGATTGACGGTGTGTGAATGATTGCACTGTGAGTGACTGTGTGTAAGTGATTGTGTGAGTGAGTCACTGTGTTTGACTTATTGTGTTTGTGAGTAATTGTTTACGTGAATCGCTGTGTGATGGAGTGAGTGAATGTGAGAGAATCGCTGTGTGTCTGTGAGTGTCTGTGCGAGTGATTGTGAGTGAGTGAATGTCAATGACTGTTGTGTGACTGAGTGTGTGAGTGAATGTGTGAATCTGTGACTATGTTTGTGAGTGAATGTGT